TCTTCATAGTTGAAACATTCATTGCATCTCTATCTTTAATGGTGACCAAAATATCTCTGGGTTTCACCAAACTCTTAGACATGTCCACCAACAAGGCATTCTCCTCTTCAGTAAGTCGCCCTACAAATGAATGACCTTGAAGATAATCTGAAATAAGATGGTTGTTTACTCCACAAACCACCTCCAACTTCCAATCATCCCCACCACCAATATTGATACCTTTTAACAAGAATGGGCATCCACATTTCTTGGTACCAGTGTCCCTAGCACATTTTTTCATATCACTATTTGCATCCGACCTTATATCAGTTGTTTTATAGTTACTGTTCCCCTCACAAGCAAGTATTACACGAGGTCACCTCTTGCCCTCACCTCCATAATCAGACCTTTTAATTACAATGACAATATTATTCAATTTTCCTTGTTCACGAGCCCATCGAAGTAATGCATCTCTACTATTGAATATCTACACATAAAACTCATATTATTTAAATATAAAATTTGAAACATTAATGCCACGTTAATGATACTAAAAAGGATTTCAGACAAATAATTACCGAATATGTTGTGAATTGATCACTATATTCAATTACACATTCTGTTCCCACATTGCTGCCTTCAGTAGGGGCGTCACCTTGATTTTGTTCCTTCAATGGGAGTAAGATCAAAAATAGCTTGGATTAAATTTGTGGTCGGCAATAAGTTACTGAAAAAATAAATAAATTTCGGTTGGATGCCACTGAAACACATGTAAAATTTCGGTAGTAAACTACTGAACTACGTTTAATCTTACGGTGGATCTCCACCGAATATTATGTTGCGGACCGGTCAAAACCAACCGAAAATGGTGCAACTTTTTGGTGGCATTCCACCGAATTTACCTGTCGAGTTCAATACTTATGTGCTGAACGCAACCAGCGACCGTTACGAAATACTAAAATTGCAAAACGCCAAAAAATAAACTTGTACCTCATTCGAAGCCTCTCTAACTTCAATCTCACCCTTCATGAATAAATACAAGATATTTTTTCACAGTATAAACTTATAAATCTAGGGTTTAGGGTTTATGAACATGATAGTTTGAGAAAAAAGTCAAACTAAGGTTGCAGGAACATATGTGGGGTATAGTGAGCAATTTTAATTTTAATTTTAAATTTTTTTGTCGTTAACGGTAATTGTGTACAAGGGTAAAATAAGTTATTTATATTTAAAATTAGTATGGGGTGTAAAGAGCAAATAATGGTGTGCCAATAAAATCACCCTTTATTTAAATAAGAAACTCGTACATAAGGTACCAAAAATGGATTACAATAAATACTAATGAACATGGATTATTTAAGCATGAATGTTCCTTGCTTTAGTTTGGTACAAAAATAATCACATTCTGGTACAAAAATTTGATCCTCTTAAGATAGAGTGATAAATCTTAAGCATTTAATAATTAGTCGCTCGAATGTAATGATGCATCCAACACTACTCGAGAACAAAATAATTGGTATAAAATGCATAGACCAAATAAAAGATTACAAATTTATAGATAAACCCAATCCTAGACATGTATTTATAGAAAAACCCAAGCACTAAGATTAAATCAATATAAAAAATCAATAGTATATTCCATTGCGGATCCAAATCATCCTTTAGGAAATGCTTGGTTTCTAATTCCAGTCACACGCCACGTGGCAACAGGAAAAAAAATCAAATCAGCGAGGTACTGTAGCGATACTGTAGCGCTACAGTAACCCCCCTCGTTTTGGACCTCGGGTAAGACTTGCCTTCGGGCCAGCCCGAGGAGGTGGGTCCCACACCCCCCCAGGACCTGGGCTGCTCCGCTGGAACGCCATTTTTTTTTTTTTCCCCTAGCCTTGGGCTAGGCTGCAGCGGTGAAACTGCTCTAAAGAGCAAATAATGAGGTGCCAATAAAATCTCTATTTTCCTTTTAACAACATAGTCTCACCTCATTTTTTACCCCAAAAAAAAAAACTCTTACCTCATTCCACTCATTTGATGACACTTGGACTGAGGTGGATGGTTAATAATAGAGCGGTAATTTCAACTGATGTGAGACTGTAAAAGTCGTCTCAGATTCTGACTGGATCTTGACCAGCCCCCGTGCTCGACTCTCATTCAAAACCCCCAAAAAAAAAAAAAAAAAAAAAAAAACCTGTGTCCGTCTGTCTGTCTGTCTGTCTGTCTGTCTGTCCGGCTCCTCCCTCTCCTTCCCTGCGTGGCTCAACCCTTCCTTTTCCAACCATTTTTATTTTTATTTATTTTATAAAAATAAATTAGGTAAAAAACAAACAAGACCAAGTTTTGTGTTACCAAAATCGAAAAGCCATTCCTCGCACGCTGACCTAAAAAAACCCCAAAATCATATATTTTTATTTTTATTCTTCAATTTCACACCAAAAGCTCGTCTCCTTCATCTTCCTCCAAGCTTCAGCTCCAAAGGTCCAGCTTCCTCTTCCTCCTCTGCTCCTCAAACCTCAGAACCAGGTACCTCTTGAGCTATTTCTCTTTTGATTATATGTTTTTTTTCTCTAATTTTCTTCTGCTTTAACATGCTTGGATACTGTGATTTGATTACTTTTTTTGTTGTTGGTTTCGATCAGGTTGTTTTTGTCGTTCTTGTAGTTTCTAGGGTTTTTTTTTCTTTCTTTTAATTTCGTTTTGTTTGTTCCTTTTTCTTTCTGGAAACTGCTGCTTGAAGATCATTTTATTTTCATTT